CTAGGATTATAGGAATCTTTTAGGATTTTCTAAATTTGCCTCAGACGACCAAATCTTGGCCAAAATCCCACACTGTGAGCCGGACTTGACTCAATCAGAGCCTGTAAATGATTCATAATGACAATGTGCTTATGACTGCCGCTTGATATTTGAACTGAATTAGCCTACCATCATGCATTTTCAGTGTAAAATGAATCTTTGCGTAGTTCAAGTTACTTAAGTTAGCCTTTGAAATATTCATTAGATTTTTTTGGGTTTGATTGTGTCAATAAGAAGTGCCTAACAACAAGACTTCTGCAACTTTTGAAGAAAATGGGAGTGGAGCTTTCCCATGCAAACATCAACGCCACAATGCTAGTGTGCTGCTAATGTGTTTCGAGTGTTTGCTAGGGTGTTGTTAGGCATTTTTTTTGGATATTCTGGGTGGCTAAGTGGTTGTTAGGACTTTATAGATGGTGTTCCAGGGTGATTCTAGAGTGTTGCTGGGCAGTGCTAAGGTGTTCTGATTGGCTGTTGGTGTGTTGATTGGCGGTGCAGTTTCTAAGATGTTTAATGCTTGTTAGAGTGTCATTAGGTGGTTGCTTCAGTTTATTAGATGGATACTAGGGTGTTGTTAGGCAATTGCTATTAAGTAAACTTTAAAGTGATAGTATGCCTTTCTTCCGTAAGCCACATGATTTTAAGTATCATTCATGTTCGTAGTGCAAAAAACGACACCGTTTGCATTTAATTTATGAATAACCAAAGGCTGAAGCCAAACATAACACTATTTTTTTGTTGCCTTGCAAGCACTGGTATTTCCTTCAGGAAATGCAAATGTAGTTTACCAATTCACCACATTAACAACTTCATTCAACTGCACACTAATTTGACAATTTGGACACCATGGAAACAACCTTTTGGGAAGAGCAGCGTGCCTGCCCCTCCTGTGGTAGGGTCATTACTAAACACAGGCTTTAGAGTCTCAGGGGAAGATACAGACGAAAGCAAAACCTCCCTGATCTACAATGGCGGAGAATTAAACCTCAAATGTAAAAGCACTTTCTCACCAGGCTTTCTCTACTCTTAAATCGATGTCTTTCAGGAGAGCCGAAGTGCTGAAATTCTGCTTATTGCAGATTGGACTTTGATTCGTATGCTATGTTTGTCTGGAGGTTTGGCTGGCTCTTAGAAGCGTCTTTCATCTGCGATGCTCCTAGAATTAGGAGGCAGCGGTCTCCAGGGGAGTTTGTGATGTGTTTACGACCTCAGTTTCAGTTAGCGCTAAATTGAAATGAAGGGTAGATGCAGGAAAGATTGATGAGAATGTCTAAGCATCAAGACTTTAAACATAAGTGCACTAAATACAAATGTTTTATGCCTAAAGAAATTAATGGTGCGATGTTGGTGCTTATGGAAAAACCCACCAACACAACACTAGGTGGATGAGGGTGGTTTGCAAGGCCTTGCTATGCAATTGCTATTTAGCACTTTCCCAGGCAGTTATTAGGGTGTTCTGGGTGGATTGCAGGGTGGTTTCTGGTGTGCTGCTATGTGGTTGCAAGGTGGTTGCTGGGGTGTTGCTATGTGGCTGCAGGGTGGTTGCTGGGGTGTTGCTATGTGGTTGCAGGGTGGTTGCTGAGGTGTTACTATGTGATTGCAGGGGGTTTGCTTGAGAATTGCTATGTAATTGCAAGCTGGTTGCTGGGGTGTTGCTATGTGGCTGCAGGGTGTTGCTATGTAGTTGCAGGGGTGTTGCTTTGTGGTTGCAGGGTGTTGCTATGTGGTTGTTGGGTTGTTGCTATGTGGTTGCAGGGTGGTTGAAGGATGATTTGTTTGGGGGTAGCTATGTGATTGCAAGCTGGTTGCTGGGGTGTTGCTATGTGGCTGCAGGGTGTTGCTATGTAGTTGCAGGGGTGTTGCTTTGTGGTTGCAGGGTGTTGCTATGTGGTTGTTGGGTTGTTGCTATGTGGTTGCAGGGTGGTTGAAGGATGATTTGTTTGGGGGTAGCTATGTGATTGCAAGCTGGTTGCTGGGGTGTTGCTATGTGGTTGTGAGGTGTTTCTAGGGTGTTGCTATGTGGTTGTTGGGTTGTTACAGGGGGTTGCTGGGGTGTTGCTATGGGTTTGCAGTGGTGTTACTATGTGGTTGCTGCATGGTTGTGGGTGGGTTGATGGGGTGTTGCTTTGTGTTTGTTGGAGGGTTGCTGGGTGGTTGCTGGGTGATTGCAGGCTGGTTGCTGGGGTGTTGCTATGTGGTAGTTGGGTGGTTGCAGGGGTTGCTGGACTGCTGCTATGTGGTTGCAGGGGGTTGATTGGGTGTTGCAGGCTGGTTGCTGGGGTATTCTGGGTCCTTTGCTAAATTAAAAGCCTATGGTCTTATCCTCAATGTATTGCTGTTCCTCTAATATGAACTTTAATAAGTTGACTGTCATTGGGTCTTATTTTACCTCATTCTGTGCAACAATGCATACAGTCGCAAAAATGAGTTGGGAAAGCTAGTAAATACGAAATAATTGCAATTCTCGGGCAAACCACTATAGAGTTGGTGTCGCTATAGAGTTAGAACCGGTGAATGTGGTTTACATGTTTCATAGAAAGAGAATGATGTGCACCAAATGAGTCGAATACATTAATGGTTGCGGATGAAATAGCTCAACACGAGAGCTAACGCAAATGCAAATGCAATTTGCAATGACATGTGAAATAAAACGTCATCATGTTTTAAAGAAGAGTGGCTTGATTAAGTGGTGGAAATAGCAGATGATGGGCACAGAACAGTGACAAAACTCAGAGACATTAACAGTTACACACAGGTGTAGTGGTGTGAAAACTCTACTATAGGGATGCTTGGATAACTATATAAGAATTCACGTTCATGTTTTTTATTAATGGTTGCGGATGAAATAGCTCAACACGAGAGCTAATGCAATGACATGTGAAATAAAACGTCATCATGTTTTAAAGAAGAGTGGCTTGATTAAGTGGTGGAAATAGCAGATGATGGGCACAGAACAGTGACAAAACTCAGAGACATTAACAGTTACACACAGGTGTAGTGGTGTGAAAACTCTACTATAGGGATGCTTGGATAACTATATAAGAATTCACGTTCATGTTTTTTGAAAATATTTATCTTACAGATCTCAGTTTAAATGCTTCACTTTGTGTTCTATTCTATTAAAATCAATTCTATTCTATTCTGTTCTATCAGTTTAAATGCTTCAGTTTGTTTTTATGTATTTTATCATAAACCTAATAAATAACTGACCTCAAAAAGAAAATTCATGAGTAATATCTGCTTCATTTTTTCATATATTTATTTTATTTTATTTTAATAAATTAAACTTCTGCTTGAGATAAAAAAAAAAAATGTTTAATAGTTTTTCTTGGTAACAAAAAAATGTTGTCTCAGATAACTTAAAATGTGCATCATTTAGTTACATCAAGTGTCAAATCAAATATAAATAGCACATTTAAGTTAAAAGTTTCACACTTTTTTTGTGTGTGTGCTGTACAGGTACTTGTATAAAGAATGTTTTTACTCAGGTGGCTGAAATCTCTGCCCAATAGAGAAAAGTTTTGCTCAGCAAAATAGAGGGAACATTGGACCCATCGGAGTAGTCTCATAATATCTCTTTTGACCTCCCTGTGTCTTCTTATTGTGTCTCTTCATGTCTTCATTTATTTCCTGTCAGATCCAGCAGGCAGCTGAGCGGCCTGAGAGGAATTTCGTGGACACGCGGCAGTTAAAGGTGTGCGCGACCTGTTTTGACCTCTCTGTCAGTCTGTTACGGGTCCTGGAGATGACCATCACTCTAGTGCCGGAAATATTCCTGGACTGGACCCGCCCCTCCGCCGAGCTGCTGCTGCGCCGATTGGCTCAGGTGAGCGTGATTGACAGCTGGGATGTGTTCTGTAAATGCTATTCTAAAGTTTAAAGCAACATTCAAAACTTGCAAGTGCAAAGTGAATAAAATGAAATTTATTTCATGCTCACCATTAACATTTCTCTAAAGCAGTTTCATGCAGAACTCTGAGTTAATGATCCTGTTTGAAGCAATTTGCTATTAAACATTTCTGTTTATTTTCTCAGACTCCCGCAGTGCACAGCTCTGACTTTTTCCAAAACTAAATTATTAACAACAAAAATGTATAACAATAATAATACAATTAACAATACAATTTATGAACCTGTTCAAGAGAGGGTCATAACATGAAAAAAC